GACACACTTTTGGATTACGTGTGCTACGGTCTTTCGGCCACCGATTGGCCAGTACGTTTGACGAATGATGGCTAATAGCGACTGGGGTCCAGCGTGAAGGTGCTTTTCGTGTAAGTGCCGTATCAGAGCAGAAGTGATGGAATGATTCTTGGGCAATATTATGGGATGCCGTGCTTCAAAGTCCAAGGTAGAGTTTTTAAGACGCCCTCCAACTCGAAGCAAACCGCAATCATCTAAAAATGGCGAAAGAGAGGCGATCGAGCTTGAAGCCTTGATGTCCTTTCGCGTTTCCAGGGCTCTTATTTCAGTGGATAGACGAGATTGTTGAGTAAGACGAATAAGCAGTTCGGTTCCCAAACGCAAGTCCTCCACAGTTATTCCAGACTTTCGTCGATGAATGAATTTGCATACATACGCAAAAATTCGTTGCATTTTGGGGAAGGAATTTACAAACTTTGATTCTTCCACCAAATATCTTGACGCGCAGTTTGTAATTAGTATGGTTTTTCGTGCCTCCAAAACCGGCTCTGGAAGAGCAGGTGTACTTGGCCATTGATCCTTACTGGCTGTCAAGTATGTAGGTCCATACTTCCAAAGATGAGAATTGATGAGCTCAGCTGGTAATGATCCTCGAGAAAGCATATCGGCAGGGTTTAGATCAGTTGGCACGTGCAGCCAAGACATTCCAGATGTGAGTTCCTGAATAACAGAAAGTCTATTAGCGACAAATACATTGAAGTTGGATGGTTGATTCTTGATCCAAGCCAAAACGACTGTGGAGTCACACCAGCAATAATAAGAGCACTTGAAGTTCATCAAAGACACTTCATGCATAAGCTGAGCGAGTAGCGCTGCACCACATAATTCCAACTTGGGTATTGTGATAGTCTTCAGTGGCGCTACACGAGATCTGGAAGATAGAAGATTTGCCTTGACTCCATTGTCGCCTTGCGAAACAGCGTAGATGCAAGCTCCATAAGCACTCATGCTGGCATCACAAAATCCATGCATTTCAAGGTTGCTGCTTCGAAGGAAAGATAGGCGCGGGAAAGAAATTTGTTGCATAGAGTCAAACTGCTGAATAAAGTTGATCCAAGTTGTGCGTAAGGAGACTGGCAGACTTTCATCCCAATGAAGCTTTTCTTTCCACAGCTGCTGTAGAAATATTTTTGCTTTAGTAATAACTGGCCCTATAAGTCCGAGTGGATCATAAAATCGTGCAATAGTTGACAATACAACTCGCTTAGTTGGTTTCGAAGGGACTTGATTGGGACAGAATGAAAATAATAGCTCATCCGAAGTGGGATTCCATGCTAAACCTAGCGTCTTGGTTACATCGCTGCCATCAGTAAATTTAACAAATGTTTCCCTATCTTCATGGGGTGTTTGATCGAGTACATATGTATCGTTGGAACACCATTTTCTGATCTTGAAATTTCCTTTGGCTAATAGTCCTGACACCTGGCGAATTATTTCCAGCACCTCATTTGTAGTATCTCCCCCCGTTAGCAAATCATCCACGTAAAAGTCCCGCAGCACAACTTCAGAGCCAATTGGATATGACGAACTCTCGTCTGCCGCTAGTTGGTGCATAGAACGGACGGCCAGAAATGCTGCTGGTTTCGTTCCATAGGTCACGGTATCCAGCTTGAATGTCCTTAGCTCCTCGAGGGGTGAGTCACGCCACAGTATGCACTGCAGAAAACTATCTTGGGGCGAGACACGGACGCATCTATACATTTTACAAATGTCACCAGTCAATGCTATACGAAAGGTACGAAATCGAAGAAGAGTCGTAACTAACTTTGGCTGAATTGTTGGGCCTGACATCAATATATCGTTGAGGGAATATCCTGTAGATGTACAAGCGGATCCGTCGAAAACTACTCGGAGTTTTGTGGTGGTTTTGTCTTCTCTTAAGACGCAGTGATGAGGAAGAAAAAATTTGCATTGTTTAAGTGCGTCACTTTTGACAGGGGACATGTGATTCAAATCGACGTATTCCTTTATAAATGCGGCGTATTGGGCCTTGAGAAGCGGTTTGCGAACCAACTTGCGCTCTAGATTGAGAAATCTGCGATAGGCTTGTTGATAAGAATCTCCAAGAAGACTGTCACTCAGCTTTAAAGGCAATTGAACGCAATATTCGCCACTTGGAAGCCGACCGCAATGTTTTTTGAAATGTTCCTCGCAAGCAATTTCCTCCTTTGTTGCTTCTGTAGCGGGACCGTGGCAGTTTTCCACTTCCCAGAACCTTCGCACTAGCTCATCCAAACCAACGGTAGGCGTTTGACTCAATTCCGTCGAACTAGAGGCAGCTAGGAGCACTGAGCTGCGGGAGTACTGACCTCCACCTGTGACAACCCAGCCGAGACGGGTTTTTTGTATTATAGGAAGTCCCCTCTCCAATTTGATCTGTCCAACGCATAAAATGTCGTAAAATAAGCTGGCTCCAATAAGTACATCGATGCGCTGAGATTTGTTAAAGTGTGGGTCAGCAAGGCTGATATTGGATGGCATTTCCCATTTGGATACATCAAATGAAGAAGCAGGCTGGTTTCCTGTAATACGTGGAGCAACGAGAGCTGTGAGACTCGTGAAGTAATCGGAAGTCCTGGATTGAATGACCAAATTAACTGAACCTTCCGTGTGAAATGCAGAATCAGCGCCGATACCCGATACTGATACCGACCCTTTGGCTCGTTTCAGCTGAAGCCTCTGAGCAAAGCGAGAGGTTATTAAATTAATCTGAGAGCCTGAATCCAGAAGAGCCCGACAAGGAAGAAGATCACCAACTCGACTCTTTATCATAATGACTGTCGTGGCTAGAAGCACTACGTCTGAGCTAAGATTCTGAGCAGGAGGCGAGCATGGTGATGAAGCGGCAACAAGAGAACTTGAAAGATTGGGGCCTGGGCATAAGTCTGTCTGAATAGGAGACGTAGTAGCGTTTGCAGGTTCCGTGTTAACTGACGTAGGCAGCGGATTGTTGATATGTAAAAGGGTATGATGCTTTTCACCGCATGTGCGACAAGAGCCTGAACTGCAGGAGGTATTCCGATGTCCCTTCTTCAAACAGTTGAAGCAAACTCTAAGCTTCCTTGCCTCTCTAAGACGCAAAGATGGCGAAAGGTTTCCAAAGCGAGTGCAGCTGTAAATGTTATGCCCTTTATTATCACAGAACACGCATTCCAATACGATTGTATTTGTAGCAACAAGACTGTGTTTTGAATGAGTGATTCGTTTATGTTTTCCAACCTGACTGCTATGGATTTGAATCAACATAGCTTGATCCATGGTCTCCATGGCTTGACATCTCCTCTCCAAAAAAGCCGAAAAATGGTCCCATGTTGGTATGACGTTAGGGGGCGACAGCTCCTCCCATTTGGTCCTGGTATCAGAGTCGAGATACTTGTATGTGGAGTGAACGATGATGCATCCAGCTATTTCCTCCATGGTACCCATCGATCTAAGCGCTCTCATGTGAGAATGAAGCTTGTCCGATAAAGTACGTAGCTTTGTAGTTGACCCATCTTCAACCTTCTCATGCCTCAGAATCTCAGCGACGTGTGCCTGAAAGATTAAACGTTTATTATTGAAACGATTGTTTAAAATGTCCAATGCAATATCATAATTGCTCTCCGATACTTCCAAAGAGCGAACAGCCTCCAGGGCAGGTCCATCCAAACATGAGCGCAGGTGCTGGAACTTCTCAATCTTTGATAGAAAGGGCTCCTGATCTATTACTGTGCTAAACATCGAGTAAAAGTCTGCCCACTCAGTATAACCTCCACGGAAAGTGGGAAGTTTAATGTCAGGAATATGATATCGTGACCGTACATTTCCGGAGGCAGTAACGTTGAGCTCGGGTCGTATCGTTGAGTGATGCGGCATGTTCTGGGTAGTCCTGCGGAGTGCTGAGCGAATACGAACTTCGATTTCCATCGCCAAATCCTCAAAATTGTTGCTTAAGTCGCTGCCAATTTCGCTTACATCAAGCTCTTCTAAATTAGAATGAGTAACATTAAATGAGTCGGATATTTTTTCCAAGAATTTTAAATGAACACTTAGCGCATCTTCACTGATTGGGTTGTTTTCATCATTCAATATCGTCTCTCGAAGTGAAACGGCTTTGTTGTATATTGAGAGTGCCTTTAGTTTGTAAAAAGACACCCTGTTTTCCGGCACGTCATTAGACTCATCCATTTTCGACAGGCAGCAGCGAGCAAAGCACAAAGAAGAATAGAAGAACCAACCGTTTGATTTTTTTTGGTATGCAAGCGCAAGTGCAGCGAACCCGAAGCCGCTAATGCACGTAGCTGTATTAGTGCTTGTAAGCAAGCGCGCGACGAAATGGGAACTAACCGCTTCGCGTTCGAACAGTTATGTTTAGCGGATAATTTTCACTGTTTATAATTGTTTATTTCCAAATTGTTACTGACGATCACGTCGGCGTCACCAAATGTTGAGACAACGAGCTTTTTCGCTGACTATGATTGTTCAATAATTTCACAAATTATTAATTTCCGAAAACGTTATAAATTTTATTATAGGTATTTTGTGTGTTGAGGGTGGCCGAAGATGCCAGAGCCTTTTACAATAGTATTAGAGTGACACACTTGGATGAGGCAAGCGAGCCGATCTCGAGCCAAAGTAATAGATTGGGGACAAAAAAGGTCTGTTCTCCAACTATATCAAGCGGTAACTGCTAGAGCAGGCGCAGCTGCTGACGGCTTAGCGACGGCATAGGAAAAAAGATAACAAGAGCGAGCATAGATAAGAATAGATGATTAAATGAGAGCATGTTGCTGAGCGAGCATAGATAAAGCTACGCTTACGTTACGTTAGTTTAGTATAATGACCAAAATAGAAAAGAAAGTGAATTGATAGGCAATAAAACAATGGTATAAAATTTACACTCGGGCTTCGCCCGAACAGCATCCTTTGAGGGAGAAAGTCCATAAGCTCTGCGCCCAAACAAAGCGCCCCACAATACTCACAATATGCATCCACTGGGGCACAAACTCACGGAGAAAGGCAGCGGCCTTGCAGGGACGTCCACCTCGGTCAATGCCATAGTTCTGCACATCGTCCCCCGGCACGCACGGCCTTGCTGTAATATTTCCACAATGGGAAGCGCCACACACGATCTCCGGTATGCATGCTGGCGTGCTTGATCTGCTGCCACAGGATCTCCGAGTTGGTAAAGACCCCCGCAGCCGACTCATCCAGGGCCTGGCGCATGTAGCCCGAGCAGGTGCCGACGTCAATGATGCACTTGGGACAGAAGTTTTGCGCATACAGCAGGGCGTCTGCCAGGACCAGTACATCCTCGTGATCGGTGCACTGGTCTCTCGATGGTCTTGCCGTTCATGGACTCGACCATGTCCCCAGTACGGACCGAATTGCAGCCCACTACGTTTTCACAAAGAGGTATCAGGCCGCGAATGTTGACCTAAGAACAGCATTATTATTCTAGGAGATATCATTTCTGTCCTGAGTACTTACCGGTAAACGCAGGCCAGCCACAGCTCGACAACAGGCCACCACAACGGCGGCCCCGGTCATGTCGCCACGCATATGGAAGAGCTCACGTTTCTCTTTCAGGCACAATCCTCCAGCATCGTAAGTCACGCCTTGGCCCACCAGCACAATGGGGCGCTCCTCGGCACAGGTGCCGTAGTAACTCAGCTCCAGGAAGTTGGGTAGCTCGCACGAGGCCTTGCCCACAGCCAGGAAGGCGTGCATTGACTGGCTCTCGGCCCAGCCCTCGACCTTGACCTCCACATTGACACCGGATTTGCACAGCACCTCGACGACATTCTGCGCAAAAGCTGTGGGTGTGAGGAGGTTGGAGGGCATCTCCTGCAGCTGTCTCGTCAGGTTCTGGGCGGCTGCCTTCTGCAGACCAATGCGCCATCCTTCGAGGTCGCAGACCTCGTCTTTTCTTGCGTATAAGTCCAGCGACGCTGGATAGCCTGGGGACGTGGTCGCAGGCGCTGCAAGCATTATTTTTCGTTAAGCCCACACAAAGTACCAAATATCACAATATTCTAGATACGTATTTCGTGTTCAATTTCTAGCAATAGAGAATGCCAAATTGAGGCAATGAATGTACTCCATATCTTGTAACATGTAAACATATCTATGTATGTATATCTTTGACAAATGGGGCTAACAAATCATGAACTCTTGAAGGGCCATGGTACTCAAATAGATGTGGCTCTGGATGAGTGTAACTTCCAGAAGGAAGCCTTTTCGTCCTATGAGCGTCCTTGATGAGCACCTAGATATCAGAGACCATGAAAGCTAGAGCAACCAAATTGTATATCCAGACACCTGGACCCTTCCGCCCCCACAAAGACCAAAAATCTGTGGCATTCACAATTAACGCAGAATCGTAGAGAACGCCATATTTACTAGACTGTCAAATGTGGATGAGATCGGATCGTTATTATAGCCATAACGACCAAATCGCCTTCCACGCGCTTACTCATTCTCTCTCGATCTCTCTATCCATCTCACACACTCTTTCTCGTGCAGTGTGTTCGCTCTGGCGGAGGGAAGCGAGACAGAACGGCGGGCTTGTGTGTAAGAAAGAGAGAGAGGGAGAAAAGTTCCACTCTCCTATCTCATGACAAGTGCGAGCATAATTCAGAGTTTACTTCGTTCCCGCTCGTTAAAGAATCTTTTTTGTATAAGTGGGTGATAAAAAAGAAAGGTTTTTAAAATCAAAACGTTAGAGAATACAATTTATTTGGCATACGCCTAACTTTTAAAATATTTCAGCGAAAAATAAGCTTTAATTTTACAATAAGGCATTGCCGTTACAAAGTGCCGTGACTAAATGATTCCTTTAAAGTTTCGATACTGCATCATTAATTCCTGAAAATTTAGAATAGTTTTTCTAAAATAAAGAGACCGAAAAACTTGGGTGACTGCAAATTTGTATTTTACGACGACGAAAAAAAAAGGAGTGCGTGCGTTCGTTTTCATAGATTTTTCTCGACTTCTCTTCATATATTCAAACAATTTCTTCTGCGCCTATCTTACCTACGGTGGCAAAGCGGGGCGAATTCGCCAAGAGCGAGAGAGCGAGCTTTTATTGCGCTCCCGCTTTGCCCTAGCCTAACTTACACTAGACTTCATAAAATACGATCCTAATAACAATTATTATACGCCAAATGGCGCTACACCGGCCCCGTTGAAGGACTGGAAGGCTTCAAACCAGTGGCAGAAGAGCCAACTTGTGGATTGGCCTCCTGAACGTGGCTCCGCTGCTCGTCCTTAGGTCGACCACTCTGACCCTTCCGTCCTGCCCGGCGGTTGTTCCGACCACCCTTCCGAGGAGCCCCTGTTGAGGGGGCAGGTTGTCCTCGGCGACGATTACGAGGTCGCCTTCCTTGATGTTTGGTTCCTCCTGGTGCCACTTGAATCTTATTTGCAATCCCAGCACATACTCCCGGGACCATCGCTGCCAGAACATTTGCCTGGCTGACGAGACAAGCCGCCATCGCTTTAAGCAGCTCAGACCCTCCTGGTCCGGGGTCCTGGGTGCTGGGGGTGCGATGAGCGGCCCGCCTGTCAGCAGGTGCCCCGGAGTCAGCGCGTCTCCGTCGCTTGGGTCTGGGCTTAGGGGTCCTAGCGGGCGCGTGTTGAGTACCGCCTCGATCCCGACCAGCACGGTCTCCAGCTCCTCTGCGGTGAGGAGAGCGCTTCCGACTGCCCGTAGGAGTAGGCCCTTGGCAGACTTCACACCGGCCTCCCAAAGTCCGCCCATGTGCGGTGCTCGAGGCGGTATGAAGGCAATCTCGCACCCGCTTCTTGACGCAAATTTGCGTATCGCGTCCGCTTCCGCCTCTATCTTCCTCCGCAGTTCGCTGAAGTGGCGACTTGCTCCGACGAAATTTGTCGCGTTGTCACAGTTCACGCGTTGCGGACATCCTCGACGACCGACGAACCTTTGGAATGCCAACAAGAAGGAATTAGTCGTCAAATCGGAGACAATTTCTAAATGAACCGCCTTGGACGCAAAACAGACAAATAACGCTATGTAGGACTTATAAGGGGGCCTTCCACGAATTTTCAGAGTCGTATAGACTGGGCCACAAAAATCAACGCCACATACTGAAAATGGGCGGAGAGCACGGAGCCGGTCTGCGGGTAAGTTGCCCATCATTTGGGTCTGGAGTAGCGGCTTGCATTTAAAGCAACGAATACATGACCTAACTGTCGCCCTGCAGACCGCCTGAGCATTCACTATCCAAATGCGTTGTCTAAGGATACTCACTAGTGCTCGTGGGCCGGCATGAAAACTCGTTTGATGCAGATAGCGAACGTATGTCGCACAAACTGCGAGCGTTTTGTCAATAAAAAGGGAAACTAGGCATTATATGACATAGGAGCGTTAACTAGTCGCCTTCCAACTCGCAACAACGAAAAAGAGCACCATGTCCCAGCCTCTTCATGGATGAAGGGATTCAAGCGCTGAAGACTGGGGCCTAACTTGGTGCCTTTACGAACCCTTTCAATATCTTCTTGAGACTCATTTTTCTGTGTTATTTCGACTATTTTTAGAAACGCCTCGTCGTATTCTACGGATGACGGAATTTTTCCAAAGTTGAGACTTTTGTCTTTGCATTTTCGGATGAAGCGGAACACGAAAACGAACACTCTTAGCAGTTTGAGGTGTGACGAGTATCCCTCGATTACATCCACTAAGTAATTTGACTTGGCCGCGACGGTCGGTCCGACCGATTTCTCCCGACTTTCCATCTGTATCTCTTCTTCGGAAGGCTCGAAGTGTGGATTTCTGGGCCAGCTCTCTTCTTCAAACTTTAAGAACTCTGGTCCACCAAACCAGATCGACTGCACGATTTCCTCTACGTCACAACCTCTCGAAACTATGTCTGCTGGGTTCTGTTTTATTGGCACATGCCGCCACGTAGCTTCACTTGACCACTCTTGAATCTCCGCTACTCGGTTCGCAACGAATGTTGACAACGACGAAGGGTGGGATCTGATCCAATGAAGAGTAACTTCTGAATCTGACCAGAATATCACGTTCTCAATTGGAACCTTGAGCAGTGATTTGATTCGGTGACAAAGGTCTGCTAGAAGGTGAGCGGCACATAACTCAAGCCTTGGGAGCGTTTTCGTCTTGGGTGCCGCTACTTTCGACTTTGCAGTCAACAAGGAGACCTCGAAACCTTCTGCAGTCTTTCTACGGATATAGACGCAGGCTCCATAAGCTCTCATGGATGCGTCGGCAAAGGCATGTACTTGAATCGGTGACATGAGATCAGTATGCACAAATCGAGGTATGGTAATTTTCTCCAACTGACCCAAGGATTCTTATAATAAGTTCCATGCTGTTTCCAAGTTCATTGGAATTGACTCATCCCAACCTAGCTTGTTAAGCCAAAGCTCCTGCAGTAGGATCTTTCCCTTAATTACTAAAGGACTTAACAAGCCAAGGGGGTCAAACAGCTTTGATGTCACCGATAATATGTTCCGTTTTGTCGCTCGGAGACCGATAACTGACGTGTCAATTTGGAACTTAAAGACGTCTTCGTGTGGCAGCCACGATATTCCTAACGCCTTAGTTGACTCTGAGTCCGAGATCGTTATCGGTTTAACTGTGCTCTCGGATGCGGTGACCTCAGGTGAGTTCGAAAACCATTTAGTCAATTCAAACCCAGCGGCTTGAAGAACCTGAGCCACATCAGACTTAATTGTCTTTAACTCCTCTACGCAACCAGCACCAGTCAACATGTCATCGACATAGAAGTCGGAGTCAATAACTTCAGCAGCTTTAGGGAATGAGAGTTTTGCAGACTCACTCAACCTCTTCAAACACTGAATAGCCAAAAATGGGGCTGGTACAGTCCAGAGTATGGAACATCACGGATAAGCACAGTTTTCTTTTGGTAATGCTTAAAAGTGCAGATACATAGTAACTCCGAAAGTGGATCGTAAGCTGCAAGCTTTCCGAAAAGCTTTCTAAAGAGAGTCGGCGCGCAGCGCACGCATTTAAGCGAAAGACGTCACGTTTACCTTGACCCAAGAGAGTAGCGTAGCGTAGGGAGAGCATAGCTTAAAAGCTTGACCAAAATTTCGCTCAATTGGGCGAAAGATCATCCGATTATGCAGTTAAAGTTCCTAAGATCATCCGATTATGCAGTTAAAGTTTCCAAATATCATCCGATCTTCGAGCTTTTGGTTCGGTACCGCTTAGCTGAACTTGCAGAAGTTGGGCTGGAGTTATTGACTGAGAATCGATTGATTAAAGCGGACGTGTTTACTCGGGAATTAATAAATAAATATATATATAGTTAAATATGCGACACTGCAGTTTGCGTTTTAAAAAAAGATTTTATTCTTTCACTTAAACTTAGTGCACATTGATTAGTTATTTCCCCGACGATGACTGATGTCCGGTGTCTTGAATGGAATTAACTTTTGTTGAATTCTCCGACGGTGTCGCGATTGACGTTTGTCTTGAACAGAACTGATTTGCCTTCCCAAATGTAGACTATTTATATCATGATGCTCGGCTTGGGATTCGGATTTGGATTCGGAGGCGTTGGCTTCGACTTCGGCTTCGGAGATGGAGTACGTGACTCGATCGATATGTGATGAAAGACTTCCGCTGCGTATGATCGGTGTTGCATTACTTGGGGGTGGCTGAGAATAGGGCCTCTGATTGGTCAGCTACGATGGCGTGGTTCTTGAGAATCGATTAGTAATTGATCTCTGAAGAGTGGCGTGATTCTAGTGCTGCAGGATTTTAGTGCGGCTGGATTCTAATGCGGCATCTATTGTTTTATGTTCCACTTCTAGCTTAGGGTGTTTGTTTACATTGCCTGCAATCGGCTACGCGTGGTCCATTTCGATCGTGAGATTGTTTATGGGGTTTCGGAGCTGAGAGTGTCGGATTGTTTATAGTAGTGTCGGATTGTTTATAGTATTGTGGGTGCAGGGTAATAGACATAGACAAGGGTATGCGG